CAGACTGAATTCACTATCCACAGGTCTGCTGCAGCCCATCAAATGCAAATTCCCTCTCTGTAGCATCCAGCACAGTTTTTGTGACACACACGCTGTAGTTTATTTGCACTCATCAGGCTTTCAATATGACATAAAATCATTGTAACATAATACATTATTAAATATATTTTCCAGCTGAAAAAGATAAACTTGACAGACTGTCAGTGAACATTTTCATACTGTAGAAAAGGTTAGTGAAAAAAAAAACAACCCTGGAGTACATCCACCTATTAATGTAAAAAAAGCTCAGCAACTACTCAGAGCAAGAAACTGCATGCAAAGAGCCTGCCCTCTGCCTTGTTCTCATTCAGGACCATAAACAGAATTTGAATTTTACTGCTAAATTTCATTTAGACAGTGATTTGTATGAGCATGGTTGAGTGTATGGATTATTCACAAAGCATTTACTTGGGCTGCTTGTTTGGTTTGGTGTTGCTTGGTCACCTCAATATAATGTGTTTTTTGCACTTTCATGGGTGACTGAGTATGTTTGTAGATGGGAAGAGGGGAAAAATGAAAGCTTCTAAGTGGTGTGAGTACTGTTAGTGTACTGTTAGTGTGATTGTGAGGATCAGTTGTGAATTTGAGAGGGAATTCTCAGGAGATCTTTCCTAGTCAGGGATTGAAGGATACCCTCAAACCCCCCCCCCCCCCAAAAAAAACCCAACAAACCAAAAACAAAAAAACCCAAAAAAAGCAAAAAAAAAAACACCAAGAACTTCTGTGGAGCTAGGAGCTCAGCAATCCTTTATCAAGGCCTCTGGATTTACACTTGCAGCTGAACAGAGACAAGCCCAAACATCCTGCTGGTCACAGCCAGCCCAGTCTTACTGAAGGCAGGGTCCTGAGAGCTTTTTTGCAAGATCAAGATGTTTGGCTTCAGGATCCTGCAGTGTTGGATCTGCCTCTTCCCAAGGATGCCTTAGGCCTGCCTCTGGCTCATAGGAGAAGTCTGCAGAGGTTTCCTTACCTGGGGCTGTCAGTTCTCTGCAAGATTTTTTGTTTTAATCAAATGAAGTTGCCTTGGTTCTGAGTAGTTTAGTCCTTCTTTTTCTTAATAATGGAAAGATAACTGCATATTATCCTTTCTGTGGAAAATTGCTACCTTTTACTTAGAACTGGAATAACCTTTTCTGAAATGTCAGGCTTTCCCAGAGACTGGAAAATCCAGATTTTAATGTGGTAATATCCTTTCTGTGGAAAATCACTACCTTTTTCTTAGAACTGGAATAACCTTTTCTGAAATGTCAGGCTTTCCCAGAGACTGGGAAGTCCAGATCATAATGGTGGCTGTTTCTAAACACGTTATTGTAATAATTACTAGGAACTACTCTATTGATGGCTGCTATAAATTAGAGCCAAAAATACTACTAATGTCGACTTTTGATTTCCACACAAACAAACATGAGGGATTTTGAGATATTTTTTTTAGATGTTGATGTAGCTGAAAGTACATGTTGATCTCAGTTATTATCTTACACATCTGTTGCAACTCTGAAATCTAGAGGACAGGTACATGCTGGTCTGTCACCTCAGATTTACCACTGAGAAACTGCAAACAATACAGCTCAGCACAGTGAGAGAGATGACTAATCAATCAATATCCGAAGCAATATTTGGTTATGTGGCAGAGCAATTTTGGTTAAGGAAAGCTCGAGTGTTTTGATAAAAATTCATTTACATTTCTGCACTACAGGAACATTTAGAAAATTGCATATATTAAGTCCTGGGGATATTCCTTCTTCCAGAGAAGACAAAAAAGGGAGGAAATCCTGTTTGTTTAAAAATTACTCACGTCGAAAGCTTTTCTTGTTGTTCCATTTCTATGTGAAGATCAAGGGTTGCTCTATTAAAGAGGTACTTTTCATTAAAATAATACATAAATATTTTGTTTAATTAATTTGTAGCCTTAAGGCTTGACTTCAGCACACACAAACAATTTTCTATTTTTTCCCCCAAAACTCCTGGTGAACTGACTGGATTTTGCATCCCCTAAGGAGATAGCTTTGCACAAGTTTAAAAAACAGAAATGTCAAAATGTTCTCTGCAGGTGCATGTTTCTTGCTGTGATGGAGCACCTAGGGCCAGGATTTGGTCCTGGATATGTATTCAGGCAGGAATATAAAAGAAACCTCTCTTGTACCTTGCCATACATCTGGCTACTAAAAATGGAGTTGTCAGCTTCCAGCTGCCAATCCATTAATTTTTTTTTTAAAGGTTAGGGTTACTTTTGACAAGTGACAGAGTACCCTGATACAAACAGCTGGAATTGGAGGTTAGAATATCTAAAAACAAGGAGACACATTTTCTCAGTGACTTTTGGCTTAAATTGAATTATTTTGGAGAGGAAAAAAAAACCCTTTATTTTGTAAAATGTGGTCTATGTTTGCATCACCCTTGCTGCACAAAAAGCATTTATTTAGCTGAAATGGTCTCCCATTATTATCTTTCTCGATGTAAAACGCCCTGAAGGTGGAAGAGGAAAGGTCTCTCCTTTTCCTAGCCTAAAGCTGATGCTTAAATCAAATCATTCCTCACTGTGAAGAGTGGCCTCTTGGCTATACAAAAACCTTTTACCCAGCATCTTTCGTGGAAGATAACTTAATTGGGAAAGATTCATAACTTCTGATACAATCTTCTTGTCTTCAAGTTCAGACCAATGGCCCAAACAAATCATTTGAGATGAAGTTCCAAAATTAACCCCGAAGAATATGGGATAAAATAGTTCTAAGGTTAACATGAATTGGACTGAATCCATTCCATTCTTTAAAAATATAGGAAAAACTTTCAATTTTTTGTATTATCTCTTATTGACCTCTTGCTGCTGGGAAGGTTCAGGTGCCTGGACTGCCTCATCTTCTCTGCTCAGATGTTCAATCTTATTTATTATCTCAATTCACTGCATTTATTGGTTCCAGAGGGAACATTTCCACTTAGCAGAGGCTGAAGGGAGGCAGGAATTCTGAAGAATGCAATATGGAGAGGCATTTTTTGGAATGTGAGAAGTGCCAGGGAATTTGGAGTATTGCAGCTGATTGCTGTGGTGCTGATCCTGTGGTAGTGACTCCCAGGTAAGGCTGGCCAGGGTAGTTGAAGAGATTTAATTTCCAGTTCTGTGACTGAAGCAACAGGGAGAGAAATGCACCTCAGTGACTTTCTCTCAGATTATTTTGCCATGGGAGTAGAGGTGGAAAGCAGATCAGTTTTTTAAGGTTTTTGTGAAGTTTTCAAAGGATTGTAGCACAAGGTCTTGGCTCTCTGGTAGCACTAAATGAGTGATGTCTGCATGCATTTGGGTGTGTTTGGGGTAAAGGAGCCCTGGAGTTCTTGTCTGGGTGGGAACTCTGATCTGGAATCAGCATATTAAATTATTCCCTCTTTTGGAGAGTCACTGGGTACAGATGTTATATAACGGGGATATTGATATTGGTCAGACATCTCACATGAGGCAAAACACACATGGCTTTGAAAACCAGCTTATTTCAGGAGCTCATTTTTTATTAATATGCTTCTTTTCTTTATTATTTTATAGTAGCATCAAAGTGAAGCACATTTGTAGGGAGAAAAAAATCTGCTTTTAGCAGCTATTATATCTGTTGTAATAAAACCTGACATTATTTTCCACAACCAGCTTTATCAGGGGTTGCTGGAAGATGTGTCTTGATGTTAGGGAGGAAAAGTCAATATAAAGATTATTCCATGGTTCCCTATCACTTCATCAATAGCAGCTGCAGGCAGGGCACCAGGTTTGCTGTCTCCCTTCACAAATCTCTGGCCTGACCTTCTGTGTAGCCCCATTCTAGACAACAATAGGAGCTGTTTAGTTATGGCACTTTAACTTAGCATAGAAACCAGGTTTAATTGAGCCACTAGGGATATTCTTTTATTGCCCCTCAAGAATGTCTTACAATACAGTGTGAAGTTCATTTTTAGCTTGAAGATTATTGTTCTAAGCAAGGAGTAAGAGTTACAGCTCTTACATAAAAGTAGTTATTTTTCTCTTGGTTGTGCTATAGTTACTTGGTTACAAGAGTGTGCTAAAAATGAGATTGCTCTGAGAACAAGATTGGGCACAACTAACACTGGTGTTTAAGCTTCTGACAAAACCCTCTGAAATTTTCCAGTTTTTCTTTGGTGGAAGTGGGAAGTAAAATTTTTTACAAAATCAAAGCAGTGTTTCCCCCAAGACTTCAGCCATTTACTTTGTTTACTATTATTCTCTTAAATATGTCTTTTTAAATGGCTTCTGTAGAGAAATCAGAAACCCAGAGGTTTGGGGTTTTTTTCCCATCACGCAAATCTCCCAAACACAAGTTTTTCCTTCCTGCATTCCAACGCATTTAAATCCTACCTTTCTTCTGAGGATCTCAAAAAATGAGACCAAGATCCTGATATCTTCAGAAAACCTAACTTAAACATTCACAGAGAAAATTTGTACTTTCAAAGCTTGCAGAATTCCACTTTGTTCATTGATCTTGTGTGTTATTTCAGACACTGTTTCTCTTTACACCTTTAATGTTATCATGGTCTTGCTTGTAGTATTTGGATCACAAAAAGAATCTTTGAGCTGCATTGGGTCATTGAACACAAGCTGGGTACATGTTTGCCTGTTCCATGTACAAGATCTCCTTGTGCTAGCAGAACTTAAAAAAAAAACAAACCAAAAAACCACCCAAACTGAAGGACAGAAAGATCAAAGAGAGCTTAGAATTAGTGTGAGATGACACTTGACAAATTTTCTAGATGATTTTGCACTGTAAAGCAACAACTGTCCTGTGTCCCTCTGCATGCATGTATCAGGAAGGAAGAACAAACCAAGAAGAAGTTGAATATTGGTGCTTATTGCATATGGTCAATAAAGCTGTTTAAGTTCTCTGCACTGGATGTGTAGCATGCAAACAGCTACATGATACCTAATGGGCTTTTCTTTCTTGGCTTTCTTTTTTTTCAATGAAAGGTCCGAGCCCTTTGGATCACACAGCAAGGAGTCCTTCTCTCCCTCTTGGCCACTCTGCTTGGAACTTGACCTGGGTCATGAGAGATACGTCCCCTTTCTTCTCCCACAGAGGACGACACAGTGAGTAGCATGAATATGTTATCCTCAAGAGGCTGCAGCTCCCTGCCTAAGGTTTCGGTGTAAAACTGGAGTAAAACAACACAAAGGTTTCATGGTAAAATATCCATACTGGCAGCATCTGAGGGCACTAGTAAGCCTCAGTGGCCCTACCAGCTGCCTCTGGGACTTCCCCCACCTTGCCCAAGGGCCCAGGAGTCCCATTTCAGCCCAGCCTGAGGTCATTGCCATCTCTATGGAGGTGCCTGGTGACCTGGGCTGCCCAGCCTGCCCTGCTCCCTCAGAAACAAGGGCCCAGACTGCAATATTTGAGTGGTGTGTCGAAATTCACCAATATTACAAAGAGAGGAGCTGTGCACTGAACTTTTTGCTTCTCATCTCCTTTTCTAACATCCATCCCTTCCAAAATCTGAGAATGTGTTTTCATCTGTTCTCAGGTATGACCTATCCATGGCCATCCCACTGTGAAGTACGATGGCTGTAGTTAGGACTGGACTGCACAAGGCAATATCTAATGAGCAATCCAGAAAGTGACTGCACTAGAATATATCTACTATATATCTACTACCAGTCTCTATGCAGGGAGATAAGGTGCTGAGAGGCTAATAAGATTTACTCACCCCAAGCCTGTAATTATCTGCTTGAGGGAAAAGTTTGACCTACCTATATGAAGGAGCCCCATATTTCTTCAAATTTATGTTGCAGCCTTTTATGTGTGCAATATATATTCTTTCCACTGGCATACAATATCTGCTCCTAGCTGTTGTATCTGCTTGAGTGATGAGGACACACCAATTTCATTTTGGAAGCAACAGTAGTACAATCTTTTTTTCCCTTACTTGGTTTTCTCAGAAGTTGCAAGAATGATTTTTAATTTATCCTTTATTACTTCTTCCTAAACTCTTTCAGTTTCTCAGTAATACTATTCTAAGGGAAGGCTTTGTTCTTAAAAGCTAAGAGCACTGATTTCATCTGACAGCATCACATGGAGATAAATGTACTGCATCTCAGCAGAAATGATTTATGATGATTTTAGCTGATTGCACAAGACCAAATCCTACCATATTCCAACCATCTGTTTTGCAAGGAAAGGCAGGAATTTGATGAGGTGTTACACAAAATACAGTATTTGCTCAGGACAACTGTAAACTGTTTTCTTCCTCAGTAGGTGTAATTTAGGACATGCACCTTGAAATTTCCGGAGAATCTTGGAAAGAGGCAGGAATAATTTCCTTTTTCTAGCTTTTCAATTTAACAGTTACAAAATTTAAATTGAAGTGTAGTAGCCTTTAATTGAATTGAATTAAATTTCATTAAAGCATAGTAGCCCTGGAAGGCACACATTTCAGGCTGGAACACCCCATGGCATCACTGTGCAGACACTTCCTGCCTCTTGAGATTTGCAGCCCACAGAGGACTGATATGTATATCTGCAGTCACAGCCCAAAACGGAGGACACTTCTTAAAACTTCTATTCCTCTGCATACCTTCAGCTTACAGCCACAGGCATATTTATTAGTAAACTTCCCAGGGAGCTGGATTTCTCTTCAGAGCTGCTCTGCCCGTGACAGGGTGGACAGCTCCTTTTGGTGGCTGACTACTGGCCCTGGGTCTACATGGCTCTGTGAAGCTTGTGCAGGGACTCAGCAGAGTGAGGAAGAAGACAAAGTTAGATCATCCAAGCTCTAGGCGAGTCCTCTTGTCCCAGGACCCAGCCTTCTGATTAGTGGTTAATCCAAAATCACACAATAAATCATAAGCAGAAATAAAACCCAGCAGCCTTTTACTACTAGAGTGATTTCTTCTTCTGTCAGCTTTCCTTACTGCTCCCAGCATGACTGATTATGGAGTGCTCAGTAACTTCTATCACAACTTTGTTTGCCTCATCATCTGATGGGACCCATCTAATTAACTGGCTGACATTGCTGCAGTGGGGCAATATTAGTTGTCTTAATCACACTTTCTCTGTGTTCCGCTGTTGGAGAAATTTCTGATTGAAAGACTGAGTAAATTGATACGTGGTGTCCTTCTTCCTCTGCCAAAATAAGTTCTCTTCTCTTTTGCTCAGAATTAAAAATTCTGACAGATTCTCTCTGGTAGTTCTGGCAGGAACAGTGCTTGATGACATCTTTGAAACCACAGGCAGCAATCCCAAAAGATAATCACTGGCACAAGAAGATACTTGAGCGGTACATTCACCGGACTTTTTTACTGTTTTGTCTAGAGATTTTTTTACATTTGTCTCAATCCAAGCATTGATTAATCACCAGTCATCTCAAAGATGCAAAATCCACCTGCCTTTCAGAAAATCCCATGTGAAGTCAAAATTATCTGGGAATTAAACCTGTGAGGCAGGAAGAGACTTTAAATCTCCAAATTTTTTATAACTTTTTGTTCTCATGAGGTACACTCAGACTGTTTCCTGTGGCTAGAACCAATTTTAATGCATTTGGCATATGTGGACTTACGGTAGCGTATTAATCTCCCATTTGCAGATCTGATGGATCTCTGTCCTGAGGCTTACATGATTAACTGCACCCAGCCACATATTTCATTTCTTGTCCTGGCTGGTTGAATGTTAATTTTCTCTTCTGTACAGGTATTCTACAAGAAATCAATTGTCCACTACATAAAATCTTATAAGCTTGTGTAATAGGGGTTCCAGATGACAGCTGCCCCTCCGGACCTTCATGCAGTTAACACATCCCTCTCTGCCCCATCCTCTCCATGTCCCTGGGCCAGCCAACAGCCCTGCACCTGGAGCATGATCCTGGCAGGGTGTGATGGCAGCTGTGGAAAGAGCTATTGATTGGAGAAAAAATCAAATGCAATTCAACCCATCTAAACTCTGCTTTGAAAGAAGAACACATTTCAAATAGGCAAATAACAGGCCTAACTAAGATTGCCCTGCTGGACTGCTGGAGTTGGCTTTTTCTTTTTAACTTCTTATATTACTGTGCTGCTTTATGTCTCTTTGCCACATTGTCCAGTAGCAGCTGAACTCCTTGGCTGCTATGAACCAGCACTAGGCAGAGTACTGTAGTACCTCTCTCAGGTTAGATAGTTGACAGATTTTTGCCCCCCTAAAGTTTAGCAAATAGTGGTGCTTGGATGGCAAAGTCAACTGGGACTAAAACTCAGGATGAGAGCAAATTTGGCTGCCTAGTCACTATTGTGCTTAAAACATCTAGAAAAGGTGAGTTCAGCAGAGGAGGAACACACACGTACAAGAATGCATAATTATTCACAGCTTTGATTTAATAGGTACTAAAAGCCTAATCCACAGGATGGCCTCTATTAACAACTTATTAATAATTTCACTCAGCTCTATGTCTTCAGAAAACTAATTTGACAGGGTTGTTGGGGTTTTTTTAACACTTTCTAATGGAATGTCGTCTGTGATGTGTTCCTAATTTCCTGAATTTTGTTTGCCGACTTAAAAAAATAAAAATGCATTGGACTAATTTTACTGTGGGATAATTTGGGGTCATTCTTGCTAGGTATTTGATGCTCAGTGGCACGGCAGTTGCTCAGCAAGGTGTCAGATGATTAATTTTTTCCCCTGGTAAGTCAGAAGCGTCATTTCATTCATGTCAGTTGGGTAGCAGATAGACACTGCTGCCACGAAACTCAGTGAGTCTGAACACGGAAAAGGGAAGATGGAGAGAAAAAGGGCACCAGCCAGATGAATTCATGTTGCAGTTAGCATCCCATGACTACTTGTTTCATAATTCTACAACAAATCAGACTACTACTGACATCTTCAGAATGATAAAACTGTTGTGGTTCTTGGCTCAGCGTGGCATAGTGAGATGTATGGATACAAACTGATTGTTACAGCAACATCCTGCTCAGAGGTGAGATTAAGTCAGGAGGGGAACAAGGAGAATGCTGCTTCATCCCAGAGGAAAACCAAATCAATGATTTCTTAGTAAAGATACTGGGAAGGTGATGGATCATCTTAATTCAAACACATCCTTTTTGCAATCTTACAAGTATTCTAAGGTGGTTTGGAAAAAGCATTATGAATGGAATGGGGCAATGTTTCAATTAATAGCAGTTACTCACATTAACAGAATTGCTCCATATAAAATAACAGATACTGTGACCCCATATACATTTGCAGGAATTCTTGTTTAACAATTAGATGGTATTTTGGCTATGTGTAGTGGTGCTGAAATCCAAAAGGAGGAAAGTCAGGAAGCACAGCATCTGCCTAGCTAAACTGAAGGCTGTGTTAAGCAAGAAGGAAGAAAAAATCTTATTAGGGAGAAATTTTAACTTTCTTTTCCTTATATCATCTTTCATCTGCAGATAATATGTCTATGACAGCTCAACATTTTTCAATAATAAAATAACACACATTAAGACAACAAATGTCTTTTCTCCCTATCTCTCAAGTATTCATTTTCTCTAGAGATTTTTTGAAATTCATGCAAGAGGTTCCTCGTATGAATTGACAAAATATGACAGTTCATCCAACTACTGTTTAGTGCCAACTGGAGCATGTTTTCTAACAACTGCTGTTAGTCAGTACTTCATTTTTTTTTGGCCAGAACTGGCACTAGAAATGCACTTTCATGTATTGTTTTTTTGCTACATGCATGGGAGACCTGGTGGACAAATATTTCTTGTGTGGAGAATGAGCTTTGACACTTGTTGGAGCAGGAGGAATGAAAACAAGAGCTGTTGCTAGTTGTTCTCCCAACACCCCTTCCTCACACCTCTCTCTCTGTAGCTGTCTTGAAAGACTGTGCTTATAATTGATTGATGAAGGAGTCCTGGCCCTTTCTTTGTAGTTTGATTTTCACTGAACAAAGCAGCTGTCAGAGATTTTGGTGATTCAGTCCCTGGTGCACGCTGAGGGGTTGGGTGGATATAAAGTAGATGCTGTCATTTTTACGATTCTCTTAACAAATAAATGAATAGCTGCATTATTGCTGTTTTCTCTAAGCAGTGGCCCATCCATCGTGGCTCACTCCCCAGAGGATTCATTATTTAAA